AAAGCTCTGGAAACAGTGCAAACATTCTTAATTCAACAAGAAAATGCAAATGAGTATTTGAGATATGCAAATATTTTAGAGAAGTATATATTGGAGAAAAGAAGGCTAATACAATGCGACAGTTAAGTATTGATCAATACTTAAATAAATTATAACGTCCGGAAGCAAGAATGTATTAGTATCGTATAACTATGACGAAAATTACCATTACATGAATAATAGTATCACGTGAATGTGTGTTACCACTCTGTAAGTGCACAATTTTGCATTTTCTCTAAATGCACGGTTCCAAACTCTCAGTCCCGAGGTGTGCATTTAGGGAGTGTCGACTGTATCCGTGTTAGAACATGGAACCACTTTGATCAATATAATGCGCTAAAGGCAGTCTGTGAAGTTGGTATTCGTACTTCCGATGATCTAAATCCTCAGTATTATTACCGCAAAGTCGACCGTGAGGAAAGCTACCTCTTTCAAGTTGGGCGGTATTAAGTGACTATTCATGTAAATATATCGGGAATCCATCACTAAATACTTATTCCTTCCAGGTATCTGTAAACAATTACAGCTCAATAAATGATGACGAATATAACAATCCGTTAATTTCTTGAGGGATCGAACTCTTGTTCTCACATGGGATATAGAGTAATGAATCTAACGTATTTATAATCTGTATGTCCACTAAGCAAATATTAGCTGATCTTTGCTCGATATGACATTGTGATGCTACGATTAAATGGTGACGTATTCTGAATTTCACTCACAATAGTTGCCAAAGTATTGGTCACATGAATTTGTTTTAATAGGTGTAGGTGCCATTTGAAATTAAAAACGAGCGCAAAGGCAGCTTGTACATTTGCGTTTTATTGTTTATATTTTAAATTACTGTTCTACTGCTCAATTTGGCGTTAGTAAACAAACACCAAAACGCGATAGGGAGACGCTATCAACAAAAAACAAGGTCGTAATTACTTTGTCCAGTACTGTATATACTAACTCTGTGAATGCTTTAAGTTCCGGCTGAAATGTGAAATGGGTGACGACAGTAAGGATCTAAGCAAAGACTGTTACAGAGCCGTTTTGAATTGATGTTAACTTGTTTCGTTAATTCAGAGTTTATCTCAGATGTGGCCCAGTTGTATTCGCTCTTCATAAATTTGCGAGCTTTCTCATTTTTTTTATTCGAAATATATATCCAGGTTACCTCTTTATAATGAAGCCTTATACAATTTCCTTGTAGCTTCGTTATAAACAGGTCAATCACGTGCCATCTGTATTACTCGCCAATTTAGATATAATGATAATGAATTTAGACTAAAGCAAATTTATTGTATTCCTCAAGAGTAGTTTGTCGTGCTAATTGTTTTCTTATAGAAAAAGTGATTATAACAGAATTATCAACATTCAAATTCTTTTGTGGGATGTATGCAAGTATGTTATCACAACCCAACAACGCTTCAGAGTGTCAAGATTTACGATAAACCCGACGACCCAGCCGCAGCGTTTCCGTTTTACGAAAACCAGATTTCGATATAAGCGGAAGGTTACACTATAATGGACATTGTTTCGTTTTATTTAATCCAGAGTATAGAATAGAGCAGGAGGCGCAGAACTCAAAATAGATATATAAGCAGTCGTAATTTCCTTAGCAAACGGTGTCTTCGGTTCGATCTTGAATCTAATAATTGTAATATTTCATTTATAATATGGTTAAATCAAATAAACATATTATATTTATAAATAGTATTCTCTGATCTATATTGTGGTATCGCTGATAAAGTGTTAAAGCGCTTTCTTGATCAGCGATAGAATAGTATCGACCTTGCCCTCGGTACTATCGTCCCTTGACAATAAATATTTCTAATTAATTGAGACATCGCAATTAGTAGAATAGTTTCTCAACCTATAGGCTTTCGGCATAATCCCACCGAGAGAAATAGACGTATTTACTCGAGGTTAATTAGAAATCCAGAGAAGGATCGAACCTAGCATCGTGAGCGTTTAAACCCAACTTAAAGGTCACCAATTGTCATAGCGGATTAACCGAAGTAGATATAATCAAGGATCTCGTTAGAAAAATGCTAAACCCCAAGGTCAATATTAGTTCCGCTCTCCCCGAGTATTGGTTCGACAAGAGCTTGTTACGATTCGTTCTTCAAAAGGTTCTTTTTCTTCCTCAAAGTTTCAATTAAACCTATCATTACTAATAAATTAGGAATAACAAGTCCTGTCAGGGAATAGGCTCCCGCGTCAGCCTAAGCTGACTCCTTTTTTGTAATATATCGAAGAAGAATATTGCGAGCACCATTAATGTCTCTATCAAGGTTTGTTTTACATTGGGGACAGCAAAACATTTTAGATCCACCTAGCTTTTTATGAATATAACCGCAGGATCCACACGTTTTACTGGTGTATTCTTCTGTACAAATTACGACTCGACACCAACGTGCCTTATGGACCAAATGCTGTTGAAAGCGATAATATGACCATGTACACATGGCTCGAGCAGTCTTGGAATCAATGCATCCTTCTGTGAATACGTAACATAACTCGACAATTGAAAGTAGTATATATGTTAAATTATAAATAAATATTAAATAAATAAATAAATAATTTAATTAATAAAATTTGCCTGTAACGTTTTCGCTTATTTTTTTTTTCCATGAATACATTCGCGTTTACTTTGAAGCTTGTTGCATTATTTAATCGATAAATTCGGCCAATGTCATTTTTACCCCATTCAACAGATACTCCACTTGGATCATAACTCATGAATGTACGTACACCTGGATCCAGAGAAATCACTCCTGATCCCTCCTATTAAATTATTAAATATATAATTAATTAAGTTTTAATTTAATAGATAATATAATGTAATAAAAAATTAGATCAATACCTTTTGAGATATAGGGCCTTGGTTTTTAGCCTGTATTTCAAGTATACAAAGATAATATTCCCCAAGTCGATTCATAACAAGGCAGCTATCATATTCAAGCTTATTTGGAAGAGGTTTTGCTGACTTGGTTTTAGAAAAAAAGGAACATTCCCCACGAGACTTGCAACGGAGCTTCATCTTGAATTTTTTACAACTGGCAGCAAAATTGGAAGAATATCCTTTAAGCAAGTCATTCACGAATATCGTAGGGAGTTCAAGGACCCATTTCAGTTTGGTATCATTGAAGTTTTTGGCGTTGAGACATAGCGCGCGTAGATTCTTTTCTCGTTTGATACTTTCTTTTTCGACCGCGGTAAGGCACCAATTGTATGTCCATCGTGTTGTTCCCATCCATCTTCTGAGTTTCAGCCGCTCCTGCTGGTTGGGATAAATGCGAATATGTCGTACCTTGCCTGCTGAAGGTTTCTTCACTTCCTTCTTAAACTTCTTGGGGGGCTTCTCTTCTCCTTCTGCGATTTGCGGCCGAACGTAGTCCATATTCGCTGTCATTGGTATAACTTCTTAACCGAGAACCACGAGCCGTGTCCCATTTTTTTCTCCACAAGTTCGGATCCAAAGCGACACAAGCGGTCTTTTCGGGTAACTGCCATTTCTTCGACTCCTTTAGGGTATATTCGTTCCAAAAGGGCCCTGCGTTTCCAATTGAGCCCTGAACCGATTTCGTGTCCTGGATCTGTCCGTAGGTTGGGGAGCTGAGGACCTTCTTTTGTTTGAACCCTTTTTTGGTGATGGTTTTGGCGGTGGCGGTGGGTGAGCAAAATATTACAATGGTTAAAGAGTTTGGGGATAATGTCTTTAAATATGTTTATGGTTGTCGGTATTTGAATGGCGAAACCGAAAACACGCATAAAACATGCAATCTTATATGGAGCCTACGCGCATAAAAATGTGGTTTGTTTAAGAATGTGCGGAGATCATCAAGTAGACTTGTAGTACGAAAATTGTGGTTTATTTTGGAATGTTCGAAAATTGCACAACGGTCGCTGCTGGAAATGCTGGGCTCTCATCAACAAGGACATAGCTAGTGGATCAGCTAGCTCATCTTAATCTCCCAAGCGTTTCAGAATTATCGACTTAACAATAAGCGTAGAATGGGTTGCATTAACGTTGACATTCAGTTTGCACCGCACCTGATGATGATGTCAATGGGGTGGGGTCGTAAATGTCTGGTTGCTCTCCGCGAAAGCAGACTTTGAAAGGACGAATGTAGCAAGAAACCTAATTTACTCGCATTTGTAGATATAATTTATTTTATCGTTGTTTAATAAGTAGATTAAGATAGAGTAAAGCGCAAACAATAATCAAATTTCAGCGAGGGCAAATTAAAATTTGGGGATTAACCAAGGAAAAGCTTAACAAGCCAAAGTTTAAGCATCGCCTTCAATCAGACCAAGCACATGACATTAGTGTTGAAATTCGAACCCCTGAAATTTTGATGTAACCAAACCAAAAAAGCACGATTTTTACCTTTTAGGATCGATTTCCCAAAAAAGAATCAGTAACTTTCAATTATTATCCCGTTATGGTCTTGCTTTACGTGATTTACTGTCAATTTTATTAATAAAAACAAAAACATCTGTTTCGGATTACAAATGGTGATATACGGGTATAATTTTTACTTATCCTAAACGGACCTAAATACCAATGAACCAGAATATATTTACTAAACTTCACTCCCTCCCCATCTACTCCGTTCGCTGTTTCTTTTTATTAGGACCTTGTAATTCGTCCAACTCTGTTCGCAACCGTTGATTGTCGGTTTTCAATAAATCTACTTGCGCTTGCAAATCTTGAATGGCTTGATCTGTTAACAATTTCTCCAGTGTCCACTTCTCAATATTCGCTGCTTCATTCTCTTTAAGCTGTTGAATATATTGAACAGCCCTCTGGAGAATACTGCCTTTATTTTTCTCACATCCAGGCACAATCTTAGCTAACTCATTGATTCCTTGGTTGATTGTATCACGACGACGACGCTCCACTTCTTTATGATTCTCTCGCCGTTGGCGATGCCACTCTTCACTGCCTACGGGTGGCTTTCCGGAAGGAGAGGACTGAGGTGTTGAACTGGGAGTCAAAGAATTTCGAAGAGGAGACGCCTGTGGAATGGCATGTTGGGGAGTCATTGGTGCTGGCTGGATAGGTAATGGTGCTGGATGAATAGCAACTGGTTCTTGCTTGGGAGCCAGAGGAGTGCCAGGGTTGTGTTGTGCCACTGATTGGAGTTGAGCCTGGGTCTGTGAAGAATGTTGTTGTTGAATAGTCAAGTTACTCTGCGGAGTAGAACTGAAAAGGAACATGGGAAAGGAATAAATTTACAGTATGAGTAATTACATGTATAATACCACTGGTTGTTATAATATCATAATACGGTAATCGAGTACCTAGGTTGGATATTTTGAATTTTCTGTTGAGTTTGTGTGTTAACAGTTACAGGCTGAGATTCATCCTTATTCTGGTTACCCTGTTGTGCATTTTGAGAGTTTTCTTTGAAAGGGGCTTGAGTTTGCTGTGGATACCGTAGTATAAAACGTGACGAAACCAAATATGGGAAGAGGTCAGTGAGGTAGAGAGAGATAAACAGGTACAAAAAGTGAGAATTAGAGAGAGCGCGAGTAAAGTTAATCTTAATTGGAAGGGTAAGTTGTAAATAGAGTGGATGGGAGTAGTACCATGTTAATAACTGCGGCTTCCTCACTGGTCATTGTCCGCTTTTAGTATGTTGGAATAGGCGTTGTTGGTGTTTTGAGGATAGCGAACGCGACTTGGAACAAGTGACTACGGGAACGTAGGTTGAAGTCAGGTGAACTGGAAAGCGGTCACAGTATTTTTTGTTGGTGTTCTGGATGCTGTGAGGGTGGTGACAGGACGGCATAAAAAGGAGCGAGGAGTTGATGATATCTTGTGACCGTCTTGTGACATGTTGATGACGTAATACTTCTTACTGTAAATGGTGGAGGCTTATAGGATGCATGGCGATTGTACCAGTAATATGCATTGTCACACACTATGACTTTTGATTTTCAGGTGACGACTCCGATGGTCACAATTTTACGAGTGGATTAGACGATTTGTAATTAATTTCCAGTTACTAATATTCTTTAATTGTCATCTGATCATAAACATGATATGCCACTTATATACAGTTGTCCGTGATTTGTAATCATATGATGAATTCCGGTCTTGTAAAAAATCGGACATTTTGTGTGGGTCTATAACGAGAGAGAAGGAATTCTGCTGAAATGGGAAAGCACCGATCCAACGTATAGACGTTTAGGATAAGTCATTATTGTTCTGGTCACAATCATATGAATCAGCGTATTGTATGGACTAGTTTATTGTGTGTCAAGTCTGTCTAATTTGGATTCGCTGACCATTAGGATTGATTTTGTTGGTTATTTCCAATAATGTAGTAAATTCCTCAGTTTGAGGGTTCAAATACTCCCGTCCTACATAAACAAATGAATAACCATTCTACCAAATAGATTTACAGTAATCCAACAGAGCAATGCGTGTAACTTACTGGCATTTTTACTCAAACTCGGATCAGACGTCAACTGATCGTGAGAAGGAGCAGTAGGTCTGAAATTCTTAGGGATGAGCAATCCAGACTCGCTCTGTCCAATAGTAGATCTCACCCATTCTATTTTTTCATCGATCGCTCTAAAATAGGATACGATACAGTAAACAGCATAATTGAAGATAACTAATTAGACGAAGGATTACTCACTGTCTAACTTCTTCCTCCGGCGGTAGGGGTGGCTGATGAGAATTGAGACTCAAGTATGGATGTAAAACTTTTGTAATTGCAAGCCATTCCTCATCATACATGAAATCCATCGGACCCTGAGCATCAGGAATTTCGATAACCTATTCACAAGTCAACTAAAATGAATGACTATGTATATATGTAGGTGGTCAAATTGGCAAATTAATCGACTTGTGACCTGTAGGAAATCCCTCTTGGGCAGACATTTATCAAGAGACAGAAATCGGGTAGCCGCGTTTGACTCATTCTCATCAGCATTCACAGGATTTTGCATCTCTAAAGCCGAACCGGTGTCTATATTACCAACTCCATCATTATCATCAATCACATTATTATCGACATCCTCTTCATCATTTAAATCCATGACTATTTCATCTGGATTACTCATAAATAATATCTTCTTGTCTTGCTGATCATTAGCTGCAGCAGTGGAATGGGGAACCACAGCCGCAAATTTAACATGTAGATGCGCTGCGAACCAATATTTTGGTTTCAACTTCCATAGTAATTCCTCACAAGCAGGAGTACCCAAAGTATTATTTTCAATCTATTATGATTATGTAAATCTTAGTATAGAATTCTGTGTGCGCCATATATGAACATACTCGCCTCATTTTTGAAGAACGGTTTCATCCGAACGAGGTTTTGTACATCACCAAATTGTTCAACTCCTCTCGGCCAGTCATGAGACATAAAAATATCTAGCTTTTGTCTTATCTGATGAATAATAGCTGAGAATTATGCACGGTTGTAATGACTTTAAAAGATGCACAACTTATAAATCACGATACCTGAGACAGTTTAGATACTTCATACTTCCTAACATGGTAAACGCTTCTCAATGTACTATCAGAATATGGGAGCTTTTCATAATGGCCTAAGTGAACCGTCCAATGAATATAGTAGTCAGCAATAATACAGAATATCAATATAGAAATTGGACTTACCGTATGAATAGTGCTTGTCTTTATATATGCCTGATATTCCGCCAATACGAACCCCACCAAACCGAACGACGCCTGCGAATCCGAGATAATAAATGTTCTCACAGACCCAGCCCCCGTGATATCTAAGCTTGGTGAATAAATAATTAATCCCTATATCAGTAGAACATATACCATAAGCGATCAAAGAATTATTAGAATTATTTCTTACAGTTCCCATAAATAATTACTAGCTTCATGGTTTCCGCCAATGAAAAGAGTCGGATATGGTGCCTTCGATTCACCGCTGTAGTATTTATGGAACGTACCCAGCGATCGATATTTGGCCGGGACTGCCAAAGAGTCAAGGTCAATAGTATTACGGATTGACTAAAGAAGAGAAAATCCGGTGTCAATGAATATGTTTTAATCCATATTCTATAGCATGAAACATTCATTACCTGAAAGTCACCACATATTAGCAACAAGTCTATCTTAATTTTGTCAACTTGCTCTATGTGTTTCAGAGTTTTATATATTACGTCGAGCGCACCGTGACAACAACCTTCCACAGCTATCTAACGATGGTTGAGTTTAATCAGAAGATAGAATTACCATTCTACACTTTTTTTTTTACTATTTTCACTTACTCTCATATTCCGTAATGTGAAAGAAAGAATTGATTACCTCGATTTAGTGATTAAGCATATGATCAGAACCATTTTTCCAGATGATCTACCGGTCAATAAAATATCTAGCGACAAAGTCCTCTTAGAGATAAATGCGTGGCACTCTCAACGTTCGACGTAAGTGTCATTAATAAAAAACTCAGTCAGGTCTCTTACGAATACTGCTATGAATTTACCAAATTTAAAAGAGTCGATAATTACGAGCTATTGGGACACTCGACCGCCTACGGAAGACCAAGTGTTGCATTTCCCAGAAGAGAACGATCCTTCACGGTCTTCTCAGTCTTCCCTATATACCCTGATATCCGGAGTGACCTCTGTTGCAAGCGAAGTGTCGTCTTACTGGGCAAAGGTATATCGTCATGTAATATTTGTAAACCGGCAATCAGGCTCGATCAAAATTGAGGTCCTTTTTCTTAAAAATGCTTTAACAGACAAGCTGTAGATGACTAACAATTTTTGTTTTTATATTAACAAAGAAACTCTATGCAACCGTAGTATGTCCTCAGGATCCTATATCACAATGCAAGCGCGTTATGAAACATGCGACCAAATTTGAGGACTGGGCTTATGGTGCAACAAGTCTTGATATTCATGAAGGTAATGAGAATTTTGTCCGAAAGTCTAGTATTATGTAAAAGAATAATTTGGAAAGTTCAGTAGTGTTTAATCAATTGAACGTTTTGGGATACAAAATGTTTAATATGTTCCCGCTAGTCAGAGACAAACCGAACGCAATAATCATACTATTACATTTTGTACTAAGGCAAGGAGCAGTGGAAAAACGAGGAGGAGTCTCCTGATTATGACTATAAACTATTGAAGGCTAGACGTGCCGAACTGCAACAAGTTCGTAAATCCGGCGATTTATCTGCCATGGTTTTCAAGCTTAGAACGTCTTTATCAAGGAATCTCGGAGACATGGGACAACCAAAGGTAAATCGTAAGCGACTGTTCCGAATTCAACATCTAACTTATAATGCTGTTTGTTTTTACCGATCTTAGTTATATGCACACACGCACATAGGCACCAAAAGACTTATAGAAGCGTATATTAACGAAGTTGCGAAGCTATTGAATAGAATTTGTAAACTAGAATCTGACGACATAACCCCTAAGGAAAAGCTAGAAGTTATCACTAATACGCGACAATCGTTTGGGCGAACTGCTCTTCTATTGAGTGGAGGGGCAACGTTTGGTACGTATGTGAATTATCATATGTACATGTAATACTTGACAATAAGACGCGTCTGTCATATTTAGGACTTGCTCACATTGGTGTCATAAAGTGTTTATACGAAGTCAAGCTGTTGCCGCGTATTATCTCTGGAGCGTCCAGTGGATCGATTATAGCTGCATTTCTTTGCACGAAAACTGATGATGAAATTCCAACGTGGTTTTATGAGATGCAGAATTTGGATTTTGTAAGTTACGACGTTAAAATATATATGCTTTGAGATACGATGTTTATATTGATAACTTTTACCTGTTGAAGGAGGTATTTGATAAAAAAGATCGACCAGATACATTATATACGAGACTTTGTCGATTGTTTAAACGAGGTAATTCACGGAAGAGAGAATCATGGTCTACCGAGATTCATTGGCTAAGTTCTTTCCTATCTCGGTGCAGGCGTATTATATGACGGTGATGTTCTGATAGAATGGATGCGCAAGAATGTTGGGGATATGACTTTTCAGGTATACCTATTATACAGTCCTTGTTTCTGATCAGCACCAATTGTTTGCGTGATTGCGATGATGAGATGCTCAATAACATGTTCCAAACCTTTAGGAAGCATTTAATCGCACTCGACGTATTCTAAACGTTACTGTCAGTTCTGCCAGTGTCTATGAGATGCCGCGACTTCTCAATTATTTGACCGCACCAAATGTGGTATGTTGGGTTATCGCATCTCTATATTTGTATATTGGAAATTTTTATCTGACTGTTATTGTTTAATGTATTCATGTCTGAAGCTAATTTGGTCTGCTGTGTAAGTTATATAACGACATCTGTCAGTCTTTCGTTCTTTGACACCATGATATATGATAAGTCTAACCAAGGTAAATCGAACGATTTTATAGGGCTGCATCATGCTCTGTGCCATTCATCTATGGTTCGACACCATTGATGGCAAAAGATAAAACAGGGAAGATTGCACTTTGGAATCCATCTGGTTTGTCATTTGTTCTTTGGAATTGCTCTAAGCTCGCACGAGTTATATAAGACCTTTTATTAAACTTATCCAATATTGAAATCAAAGGTCACACATGGATCGATGGTTCTGTTGAAAAGTGAGTATCATAAGATGTAACGACGACGTTCGATAGCGATGCATAAGATATATTTATTAATTTACATATTACAGCGACCTTCCAATGAATAAGTTGTCTGAGTTATTCAACGTTAATCATTTTATCGTCAGTCAAGGTAAGAATTGAGATTGTCATTGTTCATATCAGCGTGACCGCTTATTTCTGTCTAAATACTTTTATCAGTCAATCCCCATGTTGTCCCATTTCTTCAAACGAAGCTTATTCCCTCAGCAATAAATCGTATGGTCAGTTGGTTCATTTTCCTTGCTGTTTCTGAAATACAACACAGATTGAACCAGGTGAGCCGAATGCGTTAAAAAATAGTTATTTCTCATATGATGATTTTATTCATAGTGCGCGCTTCTGATTTGCTATAAACAACAGTTAAGCGAACTTGGAATCACAGGAAGTTTAATATATCGAATACAAGCTATTGTATCCCAACGATATGTTGGTGATATTACCATAGTACCGCAAATAGCATATACCGATTTCTTGAATCTTCTCACTAATCCTACACCGGAAATACTAAAAGATGCAACGTTAAGAGGTGAAAGGGCTACATGGCCGAGTAAGTTTTGTTCTCATTCGAATCATGCTTGTTATCGATGCTTACAATAGCTGACTAGTGGTATTAACTTATCCTCAGAAATTTCGATTATTCGTAATCATTGTCAAATCGAGTTATGTCTTGACTCGGCTGTGATTGCACTGCGGGAGCAGGTGTTGAGTTTAGCTGTCTCCCCAAGTGAGTCAGGAGGACTAGATAGTTTGGATTTGGAGACTCCCGGAAATGCCAATGAACCAGAAAAATTTATACGTCGTGAGCAACGACGTAAGATTCGGCCTCTATCTACTACGGATGAATTCTGAAAGGGAATTAACTGGCAACAAAGATTGTTTTCTATACTGTAACGATTCTTTCTCCAACGTCTATTTCTCTTGTCGTATACTACATCGACCAATCAACTATTCATACAATACAAGAACAGCAATCTACATTCCTGGTAAAGAATCAGATAATGTATTACACCATAGGCTGTGGTTTAAATATTTATTGGTAATGTTAATGTAATTATTGATATCAATCGACCACCTCGGTGTACGCGGTCAGATACAAAGATTTTCGTATGCATAAATCTAAGATACCTCAATAAAAGGCTTCAAACTCTTCTATTCTCTAACGATTTATTTATCATTCTACAATCCTAAATCGCAAATGCTTCTCGTAGAAGCTTATTACCTAACGAGCATTTAAATGTACCAATTATTGCGAAATATTCCGCCTATCGTAAAAAGTATGAGGTATTATAAAAAGAACAAACCTTTTGAGGACATTTTTCATTTACTTCTCTTGAATCATGTACTGTTC